CCCCCTTAAGAAAAAAACAATTTTTAAGTAAAGGTCTTTTAAATGGCATGAGTCTGCCATATTTTACCCCAATCACTCTAACTCTGGTAACTCACTTCCAACATCTTCATACTTCTCTGTTTTCTCCTTGGCCTCTGACAGCCTATGAGTCTGCAAACCCTGAATCCAGAGCAGGCATAATTAACAGCACACCATAGTAAACTAGTTGATGGAAAATGTGATATATGGTATTATGTTTTTACCAATAACGATAATCACTGCCTTACCAGTAAAAATCAATTTAGGTTAACTAGTAATATCAGAGGTTTACAAACTACGTACGACCAGTGAATAAAACCCAACCCACACCCATTTTTGTATGCCCTCCCTCAGCTGAGCTGAGAATGGTTTTTATATGTTTAAGCAGTTGAAAATATTCAAATAAAGAATACTATTTTGTGACACATGAAAATTCTGCAAAATTCACTTTTCAATGTCAATGAATAAAGTCTCATAAGAATACAGCCACCCTCATGCCATGTACGTATTATCTATGACTGCTTTCTTGCAACAATGGCAGTTAAATAATTGCCACAGAGACTGCATGGCCCTCAAAGCCTAAAATATTGCCCTTCACAGAAGAGATCTGCTGACTCCTGAGCTATATCAAAGAAAATGTAAAGTTGCTAATAAACTGCTGGAAAGTCATGAATATTTGTTTAGGATTCTAACAGCTTACACATCACTCCCCAATGCATTTTCCTAAAACCCAGCTCAGATCATGCCTCTTTCCCACCAAAAACGTTTTTAACACTCCCTGTCTAGAAAAAAAAGTCTAAAGTAAAGTACTTAACAGGTCCAGCACGGTCAAGACCTCAACCTTCTATTCCAACCTCATCTCCCACACTTCTCTTCCTGCATCCTGTATTCCAGATGACTTGAATTATTTGCTATCCCTTTACATTCTCTGGGTCATTCCTACTACATGAAACGCCCAGTCCTGAATACAGTGCCATATGGTAAAATAAGCAGAGCCTTTAGAGTCTGGTCTGGAATCTAATACAGTCTCTTGCCCTTATTCGTTGAGAAAGTTAGTAAACATTTCTGAACTTTAGTTTTCTCATCTATAAAATGAGAATAAGAAGCCTTGCCTAATAAAACTATTACAAGATTTTAATTCCTGACATATAGGAAGAGCTAAACAAGTGGGAAGTGTTATTAATTCTGCCCAGTCACAGTGCTGCTTCCTCCTTTGCTTTCTTTTCCTTCACCTTCCACAGGAAAATGAGCTCTCCCTCTAATGTCACATACCATGGTATCCACCTGCCGCACTCTATGGCTCTGACCCATATCTACTATCTTATATGATAGTGATCTCTATGCATGTCTTATCTCCTCTAATGGTCTGGGAACCCCTTAAGGGCAGAATCCACCTGGGACTTATTCTGTCACATGTGTGACAGCCCTGAGAACAAGGGCTTAACTTTAGTAGGTGCGCAAGTATTTATGGAAAGAATGACATGTGTTCACTGAAAATATATATATCATTTGTTAGGTGTAACATGTTATATTGGGCTATAAGCAGGGGCAACATCATTTTTTCTATCATATCCAGCCTAAGTGTGTAGAAAAATTCAAACACCATCAGGGACCAAAATTGCCAACATAAAGACAAAGAACAAACAGAAAAGTGGGCAATGTATTCACTTTGCACGGTGCCTGTGTTTTCTTGTTTTGTTTTGTTTTGTTTTGGGGGGGAAGGTAATTAGGTTTATTTATTTATTGATGGAGGTACTGGGGATTGAACCCAGAACCTCGTGCATGCTAAGCACATATTCTAACACTGAGCTATGCCCTCCTCCCAGGTTGCCAGTGTTTTTATTTTTCATTAGTTTGAGTTATAATCAGCATCTTGGACTCCAACAATTATGGGTAGATCACACTTAAGGGTGGGGGGAAATCAACCACTTCTCCAAGGAAGACATTGAATGTCACTCATAACATCGATCACGTATGAGCACAGATCTAAGAAAATCTAAATATTCAAACAGGACTTACATGTAATAAATTAATCACCACACACACAGCTGTGACTAAAACCTTATCGTGAGCTCTGTACAAAATCAGACCCAGGCAGGAAATCAGGTTCCACCTGGCTTAATAACTTTATCAAAAACTGCAACTGCTTTGTATAGCATGATGCCTCAGGCTTCACTGGTTCCTAGAAACACTAGCCATTCTACTTGATGGTCAATTTCACAAGTTAAATAAAAAGGTGCCCATCATTCTTCCTTACTTCTAATGCCAGACTCCAAATGACAAAATGAATCCAAACACATGTATACAAAATTAGGTGCTGAGACACGCCAACATAGGGAATGACATTTTCCAAAAAGATGACGGCAAAAAATGTATTTCCAACTACTTCTGCTTATGCATTTCCCTTCAGAAACCCACTAAAAAGCACACACTCACCAGCAGATATATTATTGATCTGAAGCTGTATTATCAACAACTTACAATGTTTAGCCATTTCCATTCACAAAGCAGTTTCATAATCCATTAACTCCTTGGAGCCTCACAACAACTCTGTGAGATGCAGATAATTAACCCCCATTTTACATATGAAGTAAATGATTTATGCCTTCTTCTCCCAAGATGGTGAAGCCAAGATTGCAACCCAGGTCTTCTAACTCTCATTCCAGTGGTTTCTTTTCCTTTTTCCTTCACACAAAGCCAGAGGATACCTTTGTTTTGCTTCTACCCTACATTTTCTCAAAAAGTTGCCCAGCTAGAACAGTGTGAGGAAGAAGCGTGGGAGTATAAACATCACTGTGGTCAAATTGGTGGGAAACATCCCGCCTTTGCCTCTAGCTGCCTCCTGCAACTTAAAGGAAAGAAATGGAGTGTGGATTAGCTGCTGGGTTTTATTTCCTAACTGTCCTATTTTTGGCTTTTATGTATACTCAGCAATAGAAAACCACCATAAATATCAGCCAGCCCCTTGAACCAAAATATCCATTGGATCTTTTGCCCTTATACAAAGGTTTAGGTCTGCATCATTGTTGACTCCTGCTGCTTTCAGTCTCAGAAAAGATGGAAAGTATAAAAACCGCAACTTGTCCCAAGCTCAGAAAACTTTTGCTCTTCTTCAAACGTTTCACTGAATGGTTTATTTTTTCTTAGGGACCATCACCTCTCCTATAAGCCTTAGCTGGTCATTTTTCAGCACAAAAGTTTTCAGCTTACCCTTCACTTCACAAAGCCACTCCCTTCCAGGAGAGGTTAAATGAGCTTCATCTGACTATGAATACTACACCAAGTAGTGTAGGCTAACAAGTAAATAAAAAGAAAATCCAAACAATCCCCTGGCCTTTTCCTTTCAGGAATCCTCACCTTTGTAACTACTTGTATGACACAACCTGCATATCTTTAACCCTCTCAATGAACTCTATTAAGTGTGACACATCCCAGAGCCTGGCCTCTAAGTCTCTAAGGATCTGCATTTCAATCAAAACCCCCATATCTTAGAGTGATGGAAATGTTCACTATTTTGATTGTGGTGGTGGTTTCATTGGTGTACACAGCTATCAAAATTCACCAAATTGTACATGTGAAATATGTGTAGTCTACTGTACAGGAATCATACCACTATAAAGGTGTTAAAAATAAAAAATAAATTTAAAACCCTAATCTTTCAGGTGCTTCCAAGAACCCACTCTTGTTTAGGCTACAATAGGACAAAACCATTAAATGATCCAAGTCAATCAAATGATCAGCAGGAACTTGGAAAATTTACATTCTGACCAAAGTGGGCAGACAGCAGGTGTGGGGGAAAGCACAGACTCCAGGAGGCACCATAAACAGCACCACAAACACCACCACTGCACTGCAGCTCCCAAGCCTTCCTCTCTGCTTTTGGTTGGCTGCATCTGTCTTAAGACGGTCCCCATACTGACCTAGACACAGTGTTTGGGGGATAAATCTCCTCAAAACAAAGTTACAAGCCATACAGGACATATCTACCAGTGATGTTGCCTTTATTTTTCATAACCATCTTTCAGCCAAGAAGAGAAAAAAATGAATTATGACCACCCATTCACTAGCCTCCATTCTTCTTGGTATATATTTTGACACAAATGATTAGTTTGCCTGCACTCTTGTCGGTGACATTTATTATTCTTCCTCTGACTCCAAGCCTCCTGCCAACTAGCAGAAATAAAAACTCCACACACAGTGTTGGGGGAGGGTCCCACAGCTGTCAGCTGTGAACACTGGGAAAGCCCACCTAGGTAAGGCTCCTTCAGCCCACTGACTCCCAACCTGTGCTCTCTGCTAAGTCCCCTGGAGGCTGGGCTCCTTGTTCCAGAGACTAGGCAGGTCTTTGTTCCACCCTTGAGCAGAATTCAGCAGCAGGTGAGGTCACTGAATAACTCTGAACTTAGACCAACCTTGACTTAAACCACAGCTCAGTAACTAAAGAAAAACAGAAAAAAATTACTGGGGCAAAGGTGATTTCCTTAGAAAATAACTTGCCATCGGAAGTTTTTTACTGACCCCATACTTATCTGTAGCAACCATGCACCAGACAGGAACAAAACCAATCGTGACTCAAGCTACTGGCCTGAATTTGCAACACTTTAGGAGGTGTTGGGACAGTTCCTCGGTCAGTTTGGCTGTCCCTTTGCCCCACACATGGGCACTAAACATGTCTGATAGTATGAGCAGACCGTCCCTTCGGAACAACAGTTTGTCGAGAAAGGATAGTTGCAGAACAAGAGGGTCCCTGGAACAGCCAGATTGTGTCTTATAAAGTCAAGGCCACTAAAGAGAAAGGCCCCAAATTCTAGTTGTAGCCACCAACTTTCACTTCTACTGACCCCGCTGCCAAAGTGTCTGGAAACCCACTAGCCTCAGAGACCTGGGCTGGGAATCACCCTGAATCCTCCCTTCCCCTGCGGCGTGGAAAGAGCAGGCCAGAGCCACCTCAAGGAAACTGCTGATGGAAGCCTTCCACTTACTTCTCATTGAGCTGATAAGCGCGTTGCCGTCTTTGATTACGTCTTTGATGAATTTATTGGTCCTCTCCAGTTCCTGCTCATAACACTTGAGCCTCTCGCGGAAATCGGGGCTGTCCAGGTAGCAGTCACTGAACTCCAGCGGAGGATGCCCCATGGTTCTGATGGCGGGGGTTGGAAGGAGAGAGGAAAGACACAAAGGCCAAGAGCATCAGTGGCACAGTTCGGGGAGTAGATGGGGTGCACCGAGTGAGGGACCCGGTTAGGAAGCTGTCGCCTCCCTCTCTTTGGAGGACAGGTACCTGTTCTGATGAGATTTCTGGAGACAGCTGGCTGGTCTGTACCGGAAGCGGGCGGCCTGGCGATTGCCTCAGGTGACCCGGAGGGCTAACTAACGCAGTCGGATTCTGGCGGGGTGCTGACTAGCAAGCAGCATGCCGCTTAGGCATCGCTCCCCAGACAGGCAGCAGAAACTGCAGCTCGGCAGGATCCTTCCTGAGCAATTGCTAACGTGACACTTCGGCCCGCCCAAGGTGTAGGCGGGGGTGAGCGCTGAGGGTGGGAGCTGCCTCTCCCGGCTCCCTGCTGCCAAGCCAGCTTAAGATTTCCTTTGCCGAACTCCGCGGGCAACCCTGATTGCACTGTCCCCTCCCCCTTCTTAAAGCCAGCGCCTCCGCCCTGCCCCAACGAAGCCCCCGTACCGAAGCAGGGCACTCGGGCTCTTTCTTCAACGGTCTGACTTGCACCCTAGGGTTACCAGAGTCCCCTGGCTCCCAAAAGTTCTTCCTGGTCCCAGAGAGCTGGCCTGCCGGCCTGTTAAGCGCCGGAAGGGTTAAGCCGGGGCGGCGATGAAACGTAGCCTTCCTCCTTAGACGCCCTAGCGGGAAGGGGAGGGCAGCAGCGCGTCGCACAATAGCTGCGGTAGCCTGGCGCTTCCCTACGGAAACTGGGGAACAGCCAGCGCCCTAGACTCCAGCTGGAAAGCATGGCGGCCTGGGAGATGTAGTCTTTCCGTTTCACGCCCGGGTGACTCCTCCCTGCTATCTCCCCACCACCCCGCCAGGGCGGCCGCTCTCGCGGAAAGGGATTCCCAGCCTGCCCCAGGCTAGCCCTCCCGGCCCAGCCTCGAGGGGCAGGTGCGCCGCACTAGGGTCGATGTGGAAAATTTCTGAAACCGGAGCGAGCAAGAACCCAGAAGGGATCGTTTGTGGGAGGCGCTCTCTTTCTCTCTCACTTCCCATTATCTGGCTGGATTGTTTATTCTTTTTCCTTCCTCTCTTTCCTGCCTCCCTCTAACTGACCAACTTCTTTTCCTCCTCTTCCCTTTCCCATTTCTACTGGTGCTAGAGCTCGAGGTCTCATGGGCCTTCTACCTGAAGGATTGACTCCTGCTCTTGGATCCTGTAATTAAGCTCAGAACCCCTTGCCAAGAAAAAGGGAGGCCGTAATTAGGAGTTCATTTTTCCCTTGAATCGGATCTCAAAGCATGGTTTTTGTGACCCAACTCAATGCATCCACTGATTAAAGCCCGTGATTTTCCATGTGTAAGTGGAAAACCTAAGAAGAGGCTGTTATAAATTGTCTTGCAGCTTCCCTGAGAGGCCTCTTGTCCATTGTCCGTTGTAGGAGAACTGGGGCTACTCTACAGGTGGCTGCCTTGAGGTTAAGAATAGGTAGGGGCTGGAAAATAGTATGAACATGGGCAAAAAGAGTCATTTTAATTTTGGAGAAGTGTTTAGATTACATTGCCCTCTGAAGAAAGCCAAGAAAAGCCAGAACTGAAGGGGATAGTAAATAGAGTAATAAGGGTTAAACCACCTGTATTAGTGTTCTACTGCTGCTGTAACAAATTACCATAACCTTGATGATTTGAAACAACACAACTTTGTTATCTTACAGTTCTGGGAGTCAGAAAATAAAAAAGACCTCTCTCAGCAAAAATCACGATGTCAAAAGGGCTGTATTCTTTTCTGGAGGCTTTAGGGTAGATTCCATGTTGTTGCCTTTTCCAACTTTTAGAAGCTGTCCACATCCCTTGGCTTATAGCCCCCTTCCTCCATCTTCAAAGCCAGCAATGGCTAATCAAGTCTCTCTCCCACTTCATTACTCTGACACTGACTCTCCTGCCTCCCTTTTTGTCTTATAAGGACCCACCGAATAACCTAGTATAATCTCCCCATCTCAAAACCTTTAACCTAAATCACATCTGCAAAGTCCTTTTGTTGCCAAATCCAAGTTTGTGTGCCCGCTGCACCGTGAGGCCAAACAGACTGAAATATCGGAGTTTGGAGCAGAGAAAAGTTTATTGCAGGGCCGAGTAAGGAGGATGGGGTGGCTCATGCCCAAGAAAACCCCAACCTCCCCCAAAGAGTTTCAGCAAAGCATGTTAAAAGCCATTTCAGGGGAAGGGAGAGCTTCACAGCGTACATGATCAGCTCGTGCACAATTCTCTGATTGGCTGATGTGGAGGTAACAGGGTAATCAACACTATCAACCCTTGGGCACCAGAAGGTCTGGGAGCCACGTGCTCTTGATCATCAAGTAGTTAATTTCTTCCCTTTGGTGGTGGTCTTAAGCCACTAAAAAATTTAGGAAATATACATGAGATACTATTATCTGGGTCCTTCAGAGAGGATCTGCAGCAGAGGATAAGGGAGAGGGGGTCTGACTCTGGGAGGCCCCACAGGGTCCTGCTCTGTTACACTTTTGCCATGTAAGATAACATATTCACAGGTTCCAGGGATTAGGACATGGGCATCTATGGGGGAAACATTCTTCTACCTTCCACACAATCCATAATCATCTATAACACATGTCACTAATCCTCAAAACAAACTTATGGGGTTGCTATTATTATTATACCCATTTAAAGATGAGATAGCTAAGTTGAAGAGAGGTTAAGTGACTTGTCTAAGGACACACAGCTACTTAAGTGGCAGATCTTGAACTTGAGCCTACTCTGCTCTTAACTGCTACATTATATTGCAGTAATGGTGAGAAATCCAAAGGAAACACTGAGAATTAATAGGTAGCCACATCCCAAGTCCCAGGGAAGGATTTTATTTCCTTATTCTTTAATAGTTATCTTTTTATCTTTATTTATCCTATTTTATCTTAATTTCCTCCTCTTTTTATCTTTATGAGAAAATGTCCATTTTCTTTATAAACACCAATGCAGGTACTAAGGGAAGATGCCTAATGAATGGGTATACGGTCTTTCATTCTAGCAAGGTTGCCTACAGTATTCAGTAACTAATTCAGCAAACACTTATTGAACATCTGCTGTATGCCTTGACTTGTAGAGCCTATACCTATATTTTCATCATGATGAACATATCCATTGACATTATTGATGTTAGGTATTGTCTAACTTCCTACACTCAAAGTGTTTTACAGTCATCTGTGTTATCTTTTATCTATACAATGAAACTAAAGTGCAGAGGAAAACAAATGCCCTTCCTGGTCCAAGTACCAAGGAAGAAAGAGAGTTAAAATTAAAACTTAGTCCTTCAGATAATAGCAGCATTAATTGAGCATTATCCTAGATGCTTTGCACACATTGTACCTACCCTTACAACACCCTTATAGGATTGAGTCTTCAAATTTTTATTCACATAACCCCTAAAACTTTTTGAGGACTTGTGTATTCCCTCACATATTTTTAGGTTGACATCTAAATTTTTTCCTCATGTTTAAATAGTTGCAAAAGGTATAATTTCTAGCATACTATACATATTGACAATGTAAAAGAAAACTGTTATATTACATGTTTAAAGATATTCATTGAATTCTAAAAACCAGGGCAATTTGATGCCCACCATCAAACATTAAACATGAAGCAAAGGTGTAAACCTTTCTTAAACTTTCAGAAAATACACATTGTTTTTTTCTCCTTGAAATCAAATATCCATTGCATTCTTCCTACAAAATTGTATTCTATTATAATATATTGTCATACTTGAAAGTCGTCTATTGATACGCATTTTGAATTTCTCTGCAACAAAAATATGTCCATAAATAGAAATTTAATTATTTTTATTTCCTTGTGACCTTAAGTCTCCAAGCGTAAAAAGTCTTCCAGTTTGAGTTATAATCGCAATTATTCTGCATACACAGTAGATCAAAGTAGCATGAAGATATTATACATTGTGATTATTATTAAACATAATAACATACAATTTTTATTGGAAATGCATCTATTAGTGAGATAGGTAAGAAAGGGGTAGGTTATAGGGACTTGAGTTAAAGAAGAGTCCTGGACATCAGTATTTGAAATTGTTGCTTTTTTTAGCCCCAAAAGTTTTTACAGCCTGGTTTGAAGTACCACAGTAAGATTTCTGACCTTTGAAAAGTGTGCTTTCCTTTTAAGAGACTGGGGGAAAGATGTGGGAAACACAAATAGGAGGTGGTTCAAAGGCAAATTGTTTTTAAGAAACAGTACTAAAAGAAGTTGAGGATTTGGAAATTGGCTCCCTTTCAGCTTTATTCATGGTTACCAAAACTTGGAAGGAACCAAGATATCCTTCAGTAGGTGAATGGATAAATAAACTGTGGTGCATGCATACAAGGGAATATCATTCAGTGCTAAAAAGAAATGAGCTATCAAGATGTGAGAAGACATAGAGGAAACTTAAAGGCACATATTATTAAGTGAAAGAAGCCAAGCTGAAAAGACTACATAATGTATGATGCCAGCTATGTGATATTATGGAAAAAGCAAAACTATGAAGACAGTAAAAAGATCAGTGGTTGCCAGAGGATGTGGAGAGGGGAGAAAGAGTTGAATAAGTAGAGTACCAGACAATTTTAGAGCAGTGAAATGCCCTGTGTGATATTTTATAATGGTGGATACTTTTTATTATACATTTGTCCAAACCCATAGAATGTAAGACACCAAGAGTGAATCCTTGCAAACTATGGACTTTGAGTGATTGTGTTGTAGGTTCAATGTAGGTTCATCAAATGTGCCTCTCTGGAGGGGGATGTTGATAATGAGGGTAAGTTATGCATGTGTTGGAACCAGGGGTATATGGGAAAGCTCTGTACTCCCTCTCAATTTTTGTAACCTTAAAACTGCTTTAAAAATAAAGTCTTTAAAATTTTGAAGGAGTAAAGAAATTCCATTTTGCCTGTTTCCTGAATGTTAGGGTAACACCACCTCCACACTTCTTTTTATTTGAGAGGTTTTTCTTTTTTTTAATCGAAGTACAGTCAGTTTACAATGTTGTGTCAATTTCTAGTGTACAGCACAATTATTCAGTCATACATGAATATACATATATTCATTTTCATATTCTTTTTCACTGTAAGCTACTACGAGATACTGAATATATTTCTTTGTGCTATACAGTATAAACTAGCTTATCTACTTTATATATGCCAGTCAGTATCTGCAAATCTTGAACTCCCAGTTTATCCTTTCCCAACCCAATCCCCCTGGCAACCACAAGTCTGTATTCTATGTTTGTGACTCTGTTTCTGTTTTATATATAAGTTCATTTGGCATTTTTTTTTAGATTCCACATATGAGTGATGTCATATGGTATTTTTCTTTCTCTTTCTGGCTTACTTCACTTAGAATGACATTCTCCAGGAGCACCCATGTTGCTGC